TAGAGGAGAATAATGGAGATGAAGAGAGCTTAGCAACTCTTTTGGACCCAGGATCAATCTTTGCCAGATGCCAGACCCCTTGGGATGTCCTAGCTAGGTGAGCCAAAAAATTCCATTTCTGGCTTAGCTAGTTTGGGTTGAGTGTCTGTCACTTTCATAGAAAGTCCTGATTGATGCCACCATTTAAAAAATCTACAATCCATCTTTGCACGTTCAGCTTGAACTGAGGCTCTTTGACACAGTCTCCCCTGATGACTCTCCTCCTACCCTTCTTCTTTCCAGTAGCCACATCACTCACTGATTGTACCAGCTGGCACAGTGTCAAATGCAATCGTAATATTCTGTGATTTTTCAAATGTCTTTTTAGCTGTATTGTACGTAAAGTCTTATGGGAATGGATAATACAGTCCCCAGTTAATAAACAGGAGAAGTTCTGAAAGGATTTTTGGAAGTTGTTTGGTTAGAACTTGAAATACATGTCTCCAGAGAAGTAATATAAGCAATGGTTAAATTCCCAGGCTAGCTCACAAAAGCCTATTTTATGAAAACGTGTGTACAATGGCAGAAAATCACAGAAGTATGCAGAAAACTACTGCTTGGAAAAAAGTAAGTTTAATTTGAGGAAACCAGGAGGTAGAAACAGGCTTTTCTGGACTTTCTGGAGAAGCTTTAGAGTTGTGTTGTTTTTCTTTTTTGAAAATCAGTTTCGATTTTTACCAAACTTATATATTCACATGGTTTAAACAGTCAAACAGTTCTCGAAGATATACCACAAAAAAACAGCAGTTTCCAAACCACTCCATCTCCTCAATTTCCTGTTTTATTTTGCAGGCAACTGCTTTTAAATCTTATAGTTGTTTATTTTGGTATTTAACACATATATCTAAGTCACTTCTTGAGTTTTCTTTTTCAGGCATTATCTGTTGATTTCCATTAAGGCATATAAGAATTCAGTTTCCGTCCTTACCTGCCCACCCTGGTATGCAACACTCACACCCTCATCTTCTTGATGCAGATCTAGCATAAACCTTTGGTTAGATCAATATTTAGTGTTCACATTATCACGACTAGATAACATGCAATTCACTACTGAGTCACGTAGTACAAAAAAGTATGAAGATTACTTTCCCTTTGTATCACAACGCTAAGTTTTCCTGGGATTAATAATTATCTTATTTTTTGTTTGTTTGCTTAAGTTGTTTTAAAAAAATTTTAATTAAAAAATTTTTAATTGAAGATTTAAAATTTTTTTAAATTAAACATTTTTTAACATTTTTAATAAAAAGTTTAAAATTAAAAAAAATTTTAATTAAAATTTTTTTTTTTTTTTGGCTGCATTGGGTCTTCGTTGCTGTGTGCGAGCTTTCTCTCGTTGCGGCAAGGGGGGCTACTCCTCGTTGCGGTGAGCGGGCTTCTCATTTCAGTGGCTTCTTTTGTTGTGGAGCACAGGCTCTAGGCACACGGGCTTCAGTAGTTGTGGTGCACTGGCACAGCAGTTGTGGTGCACGGGCTTAGCTGCTCTGCGGCATGTGGGATCTTCCCAGACCAGGGCTCAAACCCGTGTCCCCTGCATTGGCAGGTGGATTCTTAACCACTGCGCCTCCAGGGAAGTCCCTGCTTAAATTTTTATGTAATTATTAATTTAGCTTCAAATTCTCTCCCTGTTAGCTGTATATCTTCTCAGTAAGTTCAGAAAAATATCATGTCTTCTATCAATTTCATCTTTTTGGAAACTTCACTCCCTGCACCTTCTGAAGTGGTTGTTTCCTGAGCCTAAATGCACAGCCGCTATCCCAGGATCTCCCTTCTTCGTTACCCGGGGGATTCCTTTGCCTTACTCTTGAGTCGGATTTCTTGCTTCCTGAATCCGAACTTTCCTCTTTCTTGCTTCACTCCCTCATTTGGGCAGCGTACTTTTCCCTATAGGAGCTTTTTCTTCCTTTTGGTAAACTTAACATAAAATTTACCATTTCAACCATTTTTAAGTGGCATTAACTATACTTACATTATTGTGCAACCATACCACTAGCCATCTCCACTTCATCATCCCAGACGGAAACTCTGTACACATCAAACAACAGCTCCTCATTCCTACCTCCCCACAGCCCCTGGTAACCAATGTTCTACTTTTTGTTTCTACGTATCAGACTATTCTAGGCACCTTATATAAGTGAAATTGTACAATAATTGTCCTTGAGAGTTATGAGAAGTATAATTTTTGAGAATATGCGTATCCAAAAATTATCTACTTTATCACTTAATAATAACTTGGCCAGGTATATAATTCTGAGTTGCATGAACTTTTCCCTTTTAATTTTGAAGGCGCTGCTTCAGTATATGATATACCCATTAGGATCATGGGCTCTGGAGCCAGTCTGCCTGTTTCAAATCCTAGCATTTATTACCTCTGTCATTTGGGCAAGTTTGTCAGCTCCTTCGTACCTCAGATTTCTCACCTGTAAAATGAAGGTAATGATAGCACCTATTTCATAGCGCTGTTGTGAGGATGAATTGTAAAGCACTGAATACAGTACCATATAGTTAGAGTCTACCTGAACTATTAGCTACTATTGCCTTGCACCTTCTGCTGCTGTTGAGAAGTCTGGAGCTGTTTTGATTCTTGATGCTTTCTAGGTCACTCAGTTCTTTATCTTTAGAAGTGGCTAAAATCTATTTGTACAACTATTCTGAAATTTTATAAGGATGTTCCCCCATGTAGGTTTATTTTCTGGGCACTCAAGAGGTCCTTTCAATCAGGAGACTCATGTCCTTCAATTTGGGGAAATCCTATTGATTAATTAACTTATTTATTTAATGACAGCCTCCCCTCTATCTTTTTCTGTCCTCTCTTTCTGGAACTCCTATCATTTAGTTGATCTGGCCTGTCCTTTATTTTCACCTATATCGTTTATCCCTAGTCATTGTTTTTCGTATAGTTAATGTCCAAGAGCTCTGCCTTGTTCTCATTTCCCTTTTTTTTTTTTTTAACAGCTTGTTCTTGTTTCATGGGTGCATATACTCTTTTATCTCTCTGAGAATTTTCATGAAAGAAAAACAAACGGGTTTTCTTTTCCGTTAATAGCCTTTGTTTTTGCTGTCTGCTCTACCATCTCTTTAACATTAGAATCTTTCTTCTAACAAGAAGTAATTCTTGGTATCTGCCAAGTGGGGCAAAAAAAAAAAAAAAAAAAAAAGCTAATTGGAAGTTGTGCGTGTGTGGATGGGGTTTGTCAGCTATGGGCTTGGATCTGATCAGGAGCCTGTCATGTCAGTATCTTTTCTCTCTTCTCTTTGGCGGGCCAAATTCACCAGAGAAGAATTCTGCAATCTCCTCTCTGGAAGACGTATGTCAGGCTTCCAGCCTGCTGGAGAGGGCTTGGGCAGTATTTAAATTTTCATTTAATCCTCTTGTTTTTAATGCACGTAGCCTCTCCGGGAAATAAAGCCTCCAGTGTTTTGCTGGGGTGGAGGACGGTCACCCAGCTGTAATGACTTGGAGAGGACATTGAATTGCTTCTTCAGTAGCCTTCCCACTACAGCTCTGTGTTCTGTGGTTTTCCAGTTCTGCAGTGCAAATTAGGATTCTTTTCAAGTGTTCATTATCATCAGCTTAGGAGTCTGCTTTCTTGGGTCTTCTGTCAGTTACCACTAGACATTTCTTTTTTTTTTAAACAAGAAGAGAGCAATTGTTCATGTTGCACTTTTCACTTTACTCATCAAGAACATCTCTCCAAGTCAATAAATATTCTTGAAACTATGTTAATAGTTGCCTTGTATTCCTTCATATAAATGTACCATCATTTATTTAACCCACTTTCTACTGCTGGATAAATTTGGGTTCTTTCCAAATTCTTTCTATTATAAGCAACTGTGTGTTGAACATTTTTGTTGCAAATGTTCTGTTTATGCCTTTAATTATTTCCTCAAATTCAATTCAGTGCTACTGTCAGCACCGTCAATACTTTTGACCGCTCATTAGTCCCATGAGATGCTTTGTGAAATAGGTTCTGCAAACAAATACGTTTGGGACTGCTGAGATTCTGTGTGGGTCTCGGTAGTTTAAAAAGCTCCATAGGTGCCTTTGTTGTGCAGTTCAGTTTGGAAACCATCTTGATCACAGACTCTGCTTCTGTTTCACCCAAGAAAAGCTGTGCTGTTTGAGGCCTGAGTGAAGCAGTATTAGAAAAATTGGCAGGTGTCCTAGTCCCTTTGGGCTGCTATAATAGAACTCCATAGACTGGGTGGCTTACAAACAACAGAAATTTATTTCTCACAGTTCTGGGGACTGGGAGTCCAAGATTAAGGCACAGGCAGATTTGGTGTCTTGCGAGAACCCACTTCCTGGCTCATAGGCACCATCTACTAGCTGCGTCCTCACATAGAGGGACGGGGGCAGAAGCTTTCTGGGGCCTCTTTTACAAAGACACCAATCCCGCTGGCCTCTGTTTTCATGACCTATCATCTCCCAGAGGTCCTACCTCCAAATACCACCACACTGGGGATTAGGTCTCAACAAATGAATCTGGCAGGCAGTGCAGGGGGAGCGGGTAGGGGACATAAAACATTCAGCCTCCTGTAGCATGGCAGGAATATGTGTGGCTCAGAATGACAAACAGGGGCTTCCCTGGTGGCGCAGTGGTTAAGAATCTGCCTGCCAATGCACGGGACATGGGTTCAAGCCCTGGTCCAGGAAGATCCCACATGCTGTGGAGCAACTAAGCCTGTGCGCCACAACTACTGAGCCTGTGCTCTAGAGCCTACGAGCCACAACTACTGAGCCCGAGTGCCACAACTACTGAGCCCATGCACCACAACTACTGAAGCCTGCGTGCCTAGAGCCTGTGCTCCACAACAAGAGAAGCCACCGCAATGAGAAGCCTGCGCACCACAACGATGAGTAGCCCCCACTCGCCGCAACTAAAAGAAAGACGGTGTGCAACGACGAGGACCCAACGCAGCTAAAAATAAATTAAAAAAAAAAGACAAACAGCCCAAACAGCCCTTTGTGCCTTAGCACAAGGCACAAAGTATAGCCCACCTACCTACCCTCAGGATGTGCTCAGAGCTCTATACAGCGGGAAGTAATGCTTTTGGTATAATTTCGTTTAAAAATGTTCATGAAATAAGGCACAGTTTGTTTGGAAGTCAAACTTTATAGTCTACATTTGGAAAAAAAAAAAACAGAAAAAAAGAATGTTTAATACCGTTGAGAATTTTGAGAGAGGGCTCCAGATAGAAAAACAAGCACCATTTCAGCAATGTCAAACAAAGGGCCAAGTCTAGTAATTCTCAAATTATAGTGAGCAGACACTTCACAAGGCAAGCTTGTTAAAAATGCAGATTTCTGGGCTCATCGCTCGTAATCTAACTCGTCATCTATAGTGTAGGCCCTAAATCCGGAACCTACAACAAGGATTCCCCCAGGAATCTGCTGTAGGTGGTTCGTGGACCAAAATTTGAGAAACTGGCATCGGCACTATTTTGCCAGAAATCACTAGGGTTGCTTGAATCTGGAAACTTCTCTGGAGTTTCCTTGTTAGTTGTCACAGGATCTTGGGGTTAAGGCTGAGAACACTTTTTCCCATCAAACAGGGCACCAAGCCCAGAAGATGTGCTGGAGTGACCCACTTTGGAGTGGTTTTTACGGAGCCCAGTGTGTCAGGCAAACGTTTGCAATGGAAGGGCTTTCTAACCTTGTCTGGCTGGCTGGCTATTTCCTGGGCTCACCTAAAATTCATGCAACCCCCTCAGAAAACAAGGTTGTCAGGCTGAAAGGCTATACAGACCCTGGCAAAGGACTTCAAAATTTTAAACAGCAGTTAGAGAAAATGAGAAAACTGGTCGGCTTGATGTTTGGTCCAAGGAATAGGAAATGGCTACTCAAAATTCGGAAGCACATTTTTGGGGTCTTTTTGTTCCTCTCTGCACCTTAACTTTTTGTGCCCTAACATGCTGCTCTTTCATCTGAGGCCTGTCTCCTACTCTAGAGTGTGATCAAAGCGCCAGCACTCCAATCTTTGACCCTAATAAGTAGCCAACGCCCTCACAGACGCTGGGCCGGATTTCGCGTTCAGGCTGCGGCGTGAGGCTTTCAAGCGCTCGCACGAATTTTACTGCGAGCTCGAAAAGGGGGCGCCGCCTTCGCGGCCCAACTGTCCTCCCCATCCCCAACTATTGCCCCTTCCGGCCACCGGCTGCAGCCTTGCTCGGCTCTTAGGCTCTCGGGTCAACGGTCGCGGGCAGAGAAGCCCACGGAGACCTCGCGTAGAGCAGCCCCGCGTCCCCGGAAGCTCAGGCTCTCGGGCGCCGGGCTGCGGCGTTCTGGGAGGTCGCTCTGAGCGCTCCGCGGCCCGGCCCACCGCATCACTCACGACCGGTCCCCGCCGGGCCGCCCCGGTCCCTGGAAGACAGAGGGTAAGCACTGCGCATCCCGTGGACGTTCTGGAAGCCGGCGCGGGGCCGCGGGCGAGCCCCGGGAGGGAGTCGGGGTCTCCGGCGGCTCCTCCGCGCGCCCCGGGCGCAGGCCGCCGTCTGGCCCGAGCCCACCCGCGTATCAAATTCAGATACGCGGCGGCTGTACGGCTTCCCTCCGCTCCTCCCCGCCCTACAGAGCGCGGTGGACCTGGGGGCCTTTCATTGCGCGCGGACAACGCTCCTGCATGGCACTGGGCGGAAACGTCCCTGGGCACCGGCTGTGTACCCCCAGCCCAACCTCACTTTCTGCCCTTGTACACATTGCCCTTGCCCAGCCAGGCCGCGTGCCCGTCTCGACAAGTTCACCCCCGCTCGCCAGCCAGAACCAGCTGCCTGCTTTCTCTTTGCTCAGCTCATGAATCCCCTCTAGAAAACAGACCGGAAGGGGGAGCTTTGGGCCTAGAGAAGGCTTTTCAGTCCCAAAAGGCCCGCCTCCCGCGCACCTGGTTTTAATAAGAGCCTAGGGAGAAATACGGCCAGGGACCTGAAGAATCCCCAAGAAATTCTGTCTAGAGAGAGAAAGAAGGGCGCACACGGATTGTACTTGAGCAGGCGCAGTCACTGTACAAGGTTGTAAAGACCTCGTGCACTTTTCAACTTTCTTTGGCTTGGAGAGGATGTAGATGGTAGTGATGTTAGAAATGGGATATAAACAGCAGTTAAAAACACATCTATTAACATCAGAGGACAAGGAGATTGCACAGTTGTGCACGTGTATTCTTTTCTACCCAGTTTTAGTAACAGAAAAGGAATATTGAAGACAACCTTGCCCCTGTTCCATATTCCCCACTGCCTAGTCCATGTGCACACAGATGTTTACATAGTTGCATTTTCAGAGGTACATGGCATTCTTATTTCAAATTCTGGAACAAGGGAGGTGAATTACCTCCTAACAGAAGGGAAGTCTTCTTTAGTTCTGAGCAAAAGATCTCTCAGTAGTGAGCTGGAAGTTACAGATTGTATCATGCTTTCAACCTATGTTATAAAAGTTTAAAGGATAAAGGACATGAAAGGCTTTTTTAAAAGACCCTAGTGAGACATATATATTCACACACATTTTCTTTGCTCTTCAGTTAAAGCCAAGAACAAATTTTCCAATATAGCACTTTGATCTTTGCACCCTTAAGAACTCAACTCTACCTTGTACTAGAATTTTGAGAACATTAATTTTTCAGCAAACATTTCTTAAACCCCTAATCAGCGTTAAACCAGAGAACTCATGGTTGTACTGATGTCCCCTCTGCTTGGAATGATTATCTCTTGCCTTTGCTTCCCTTGCTCGGCCTAACTCAGATCTCTGCTCCAATATCCGTTTCCCTGCCCACCGTCATGCACCAAAGATACTTTATTTCTTCAAGGCACTTACCACGATCTGAAATTATTAATTTGATTATTGCCTAGCTCCACCGCAGTCATTTGGGGACCTGGCTGTTTTATTTGCTGTTAATGTCCTAGAACCATACACTGGCCAGCTCCCGGGGTCTACCAGGACTCGTATTTAGTAAATACTAAAAACAGAAAACAAAAAAAACCTTTGCAGTTTAGAGTGTAGCCTTGGGAGCATTTGCTAAGTGATTGTGACCCTCAAGGAAACGTCTCCTGCCCCCCCCACCCCCCCTTTTTCCCTGGGTAGCTTGGGTGCAGCTGCTGTGTGACCCACTGGCCCTTCTAAGGACCCACGCATGGTGACCCACCAGCCCCAGGAAGTAGGCCCTGGAGGCAGCTCAGGCAGTTTTTCTGGGTCCAGATCTTGGACCAGAGAGCGAGTGGGATTCTCCCCCAGAGGCCTGGGACTGCTGGCCACACAAACCCCCTGACCCTTTAGCACTTCCTAGTGCTTGGCTGCATGCATAAGGTTCCAAAGTTCATGGTGGGAGCTGCTTATGAAAGATGCGCTGTTATTGTTGGACTCCCAGCACAGGGAATAATTAGGGGAGTGACATGCGCTAAAGTCGAGGTCTTTCCTTGTGGGCTGGGTCATTCACGAAGCCACGACTGGCCTGTTGCTGGCAAAGGCTCTGGATTCCTACGTGGTTCACTTCTTGGAGGAAGCCTCGGTGAGGAAGACGCTGGGAGTGGGGGCAGAAAAGTTTGGAATCTTCCGTGGTTCCTCGGGGATTGATTGTGGTTGAGAACCACCTTGGGCAACACCGAGGTAGAGCGTCTGGGTCCGCTTGCCTTTCCTCAAGGCCACTCTGGGCTCCCGGGGCCTTGCAGGCTGCCCTGCACGTCCTGGGGGCTGAGTTAGCGACCGCAGCAGGGGGAGGAACCCCGAGGTTCTGGAAAATGCCAGTTGCCAGCAAGGAAGAAGCTTTTCCTTAAGCTCTGCAGTGCCCAGCATGGTGTTTGGCACATGGTGTGTGTTTAATAAATGTTCATTCAAGTATGAAGCGTGAGAGTGCGCTTCGAACTGTGTTTCAAGCCTGGCTGTGTCGGTGGACAGGGACTCTCGAGGCATCCCCATGGCCCACACTCCTCACTGTAAGATGCGAAGAATGTTATCCACTTCATGGGGTGCTTTTGAGGGTTAGATGGAGTAAATACTAGAAAGTAGTATACTCAGAGCTTGGCACGTACTAATAGAGTAGGTGCTAGCACATTTTTTAAAAATGCAATATGGGAAAGGTAGCAGTTACCTCGCGGGGGAGAAACGGGAATGGAGTCAGGAAGGGGCACACTGGGGACTTCAAAAGTAACCATCGTTCTTTCTTTCTTAAACTGGGTGGGTTTTGTGATATTGCTATTCTTTATACTTTATGTCTTATAAATGTTTTAGTAACTGCTCCATAGATGATAAAACATTAAGACTGCACACTCTGATGTCTCCTATTTATGTGACCTGTCTTCTTCTTGCACAAGCTTATGAGAGAGGAATTATTATTATTTCCAGTTTACAGATGTGGGAACTTAGGCTAAATAACTTGCTTAAGTTATACACAGGTAAATAAGAGATCCCGGATTTAAATCAGTCTGTGTTCTTGACCGCTCTGTATGGCTTTCTTATGTGTTGCTGATATAGCAGGTTGTATCTACACTTTAGAAATAAGGAAATTCATTACCCTACCAATGGTCCACTGACATAGAATTGCACATTATGACTTATCTGTGTGAATCAGTATATTCTCAACTGTGTGAAACCAAGACAAAATATAGAAATAAGCTTGATCCAGAAATGGCTGATTGCAAATTGCCACTTCTCACCCTCTACTTGAAATTTTATATTCATCAAAACTGCCTACTGTTCTCAGTAGTTCACTTAATAATGAGAAATGCTAAAATGCTATATATTTTAATTTAAAATAAATGCATATAAAATGGGATGCCACTTATATGTGTTTTATTTACTTTTTATCTAAAACACATATGAAATCTCTCTATAAAATATGTATTGGGATTCCATCTAAGATTTCAACAGAAGAAAGGTCCAGGATGCAAGAAAAGGAAAATTGACTATTGCTGGTTTAAGAATATAATTGAGGGGACTTCCCTGGTGGTCCAGTGGTTAAGATTTGGCCTTCCAATGCAAGGGGGTGTGGGTTCGATCCCTGGTCATGGAGCTAAGATCCCCCATGCCTCGCAGCCAAAAAACTAAAACATAAAACAGAAGCAATATTGTGACAAATTCAATAAAGACTTTAAAAATGGTCCACATCAAAAAAATCTTAAAAAAAAGAATATAATTGAGGTTTAAAAATTTGATAGTATGAAACAGCTAAATGTCATTCAACAGACATTTGTTAAATGTTATTTTTTGTATAAAGCATCGTGTTAGGCACTTAGGGAGAATACAGAGATGAATAGGATAGTTTGATATTCAAAGTTGTTTGTAGTCCTTCAATGTGTAACATGTTAATATACCATTGATTGTTTTGAGATGTGATGCTAATCAAAACTGATTGTATTATGAATTATGAGATTCCAACAATTGAAGTGTTTGGGAGAATGCAAAGCAAAGATCAATGATTTCACAGCAATTCCAGTATTTGAGCTGGACTTCGAAGTTGGATAAAGACAAGGGGAAAATGAGAAGGTTCACTGAGGAGAGCAAATGCGGGGGGGGGGGGGGGGGGGGGGGGGGGGCGGTTGTTAGGAAATCTTGAGGCCTGCAGATAGTTCAGTTGACTAGAACGTTAGGTGGGAGATGAGGCCAGGAGGGCAGGTTGGAGTGAGAACCACGAAGAACCTCACTTGCCAGACTGAGGGGTCTGGCTTTCCTGATCCAGTGGGCAGTGGGGAGCCACTGAAGATTCCTAAGCGTAGTTGTGACATGCTCAGCGCTTCAGCCTAGAAGCATTCTTCTGATGGTGGTTGTTGAGGGAAGAAAACAAGATGTGGAGACCAGTGAGGAGGTTTTGGGGATAGTCAAGAGGGACAATCATAAGGACTTCAACTAGCATGATGGCAGGGGACATAGAAAAAAAAGTTTTGATGGAAGAGGTATGGCTGGAGCTGAATTTATAGTTTGATGACTGATGGAATGTGTTGACAAAAGGAGAAATTAAAAAAGGCTCTAGGGCTTCTCTGGTGGCGCGGTGGTTGAGAGTCCGCCGGCCGATGCAGGGGACAGGGATTCGTGCCCCGGTCTGTGAAGATCCCACATGCCACGGAGCGGCTGGGCCCGTGAGCCATGGCCGCTGAGCCTGCGTGTCCGGAGCCTGTGCTCCACAATGGGAGAGGCCACAGCAGTGAGAGGCCCACGTACCACAGAAAAGACTCTGAAGATTTGAGATTGGATGCCATTGACAAAACAGAGAAGTCAAGAGGAGGAGCTAGGGATATTTTTAAATAATTAGTGCATGAGGATGTGAGAAAGCTGGAGTTGAAATTTCTATCCTGCAGGACTTCTCTGAGCCTTTAGAGAAAGTATCATACACCATTTCCCCAGCTGACCACAGAAAGCCCCTTTCCTCCTCCCCAAACATTTTTCAGAACGCTGTTTG